AAGTTGGGTCGCGGCTGCAGCCATTTGCGGGGCTTTTCTTCTGCCTTCTTCCTTTCTTTCCCCCTTTTATCCACCCCCCCCCTTTTTTTTCCGTCTTTTTTTTCCGTCTTTTTTTTTTTAATTTTCCTTTTGCTGATTGCAAATGGATGCCTTGTGGCAGCGTCCTGGGCCGGCGCTGCCCTTTTGCATATGAGTTGGGGAGCGGGGCTGCTGCTGGCAGGGCAGCGAGTTTAAATGCTGCTAATCACGCAAGCAGAATGTTTTTTATTATTTTTTCTTCCCACTCTAATATGCCCAAAAGGGGGTATAAGTCGTGTCTCTTTGTTCTGGGGTTATACAACATCTGGCTCAGGAGAGACCTGGTTCGTGACTGAGGTGCTCAGAACCTTGTTAGTGTAAATAATAATTACAGGGCAGAAGTGTTCGGCTCAAAAGTCTTCATATGCGTGGGGTTACTAAGTCCTAGCTTTCTTGCAGCTACAGATAATTTTCATAGCGTGGGGAGATGTTTTCTGTGCACCTCTTTGAGATTTGGATCTCTGCTTTTATTTTTTTTTCCTCCTCCGCTGGAACCATCTTCCTTATTTCCAGAATTCAGGATTTTTATCTTAGGAAGGGTATTGCTGTTCTGGTTTTTGTCTCTAGTGCGTTAGCCTTTCTGCTGTCCGAGCATGGTTTTAGACTCTCTTCCCGTGTCCTGGACACGGTGAGAGTATTTTCAGCATTGTGGTGGCTGTGTGCAATTGTTATTTTTCAGAGTTTTGTTCGTGACATCATGGCAACTTGTCTCCATCCTCCCTTTAGCAGTAGCATTACCTTGTCTTCTAGTTCATCTGCATCACAGTTGCTCATTTTTAAAACCTGCTATATTCAACTTGTAATGCCTTAGTGTTGGGGAAATAGATGAGAGAGAAATTGTTCATCTTTTTAATTTAGATTTTCATGCCTGTGATAAAACTGGGAGCAACAGTTTTTTTTCATGGAGGGTGAAAAAGGCCGTATATGACGATGGTAACTTTGGAAAGGTCATGATTATATTAACTCTTTTTTCAGGGCTTTAATCTTGTCCGTCATGGATAAGTGTTATAGTGTAGTGAGTAATTAAATAATCTCATATGCTTATGTAATTTTCTACACGTGCTTACTGTTTTATAGGGTGTCACAGTTGTTTTTTATTGTATTTTATTGTATCGCAAGTTGTTTTTCAGAAGTCTCACATCATTTTTGTACAGGCTTTATGGTGAACGAGGCATGGGCTCTTACGCACAGGCCATAAATACAGCAAGCTGGGGAACCCTCTGCCTCATCCAGTACGTGTTTTGTGCAGGTCTTACAATTTCATGTACCGCAATAGCATCTGCGCTTTACAAAGTGTGTGGCCTGATGTACGCTCACGTTATATAGGTGGAATGAAGCACAGGTCTTGTAAAGTGTCGTTTGTTGGCAGCCTGGATAGAGCCAGTGTTCGCGTCTATGTAGGCAATATGATTTTTGGCGTGGAGCAGTGAAAGTGGTCTTTCTGTTGAATCAAAATCTTTCTGCGGACCCCATTAAGTCGCGGCGTTTTCACTTCATACCTGTTTTGCTGCACGGATGCTCCTTTGGAGGTAACTTGGCCTGGCCGTGCTCTGTGTAACGAGCATATGAGTTACCCTGATGCGAGTTTGTGTTGTGGATGTGGATCGTGCCATCCCGGTTGCGCTGCCTGGTGTGCCAGAACAACAAATACCCTGACCCCAGAAGGAGATAAGCCGTCCTGGCAAAAAACAGCTATACCAGCGAGAGTCCCTAGTGTGTGCCGTGTTGGTTGGAGGTTGCCCTTCTCTATAGCTCCATCGGGAAAATGTGTGGCGTAAACTCATTGAGGATTAAGCTAACAGTGAGTGAAGGCCACTTTGTTTCTGAGTAACATTCGCCATGCAGGGGTTTTATGCGCTGTAATATTGCACTTTGATTAATTGTCTCACCTTTCCTGGACAAAAGCCCCATGATTGGTTGGCTGCACAGATGTCAGCTTTCAGACTACAGGTATTTTGGCATGAGGACTACTTCAAGTGTTGGAATTTCATAATTTTTCTGTCATTCAGGAGCCTGAATCATCTTTTCTTAGACTTAAACCAGCCAGTTTCACTTCTGGCAAGCTCAAGCTGGAAGATTTCAGCCTCGTAAGTGAAAATAAAGAACCACAAATGACTGCAGGAGCCCAGGTTGGGAGCACTGGGGCCTCCTTTATTGTAAACCTTGCTTCTAGGCTACATCATGTCAAACTTATGCTGCCATGTGCATGTACATGCTCTGGGAATATTTCCATTACTGCTTCCACCTGCTCTTCATTTACCCGCTGAGGGAGATTTCCATGCAGCTTCTCCGTCTCTTGAAGGCTTTGGGAATCACTATTTTTTTGCCTTACCCTCCTCTGATCTGGAAAAGTATCCTCTAGGAAGGAAGCAGAGTGCAGTGACTCTGCCGTGCCCCTGTATCCCTTTTACCAAGAAAATTTAATACAGACTTTAATACATAAGAACATTGCATGCTGTCAGTAGAAATCAGCTGATGTTGATGATTGTCAGTGCAAGAGGTACTGTAAAATTTAGCCTCTTGTCTTTCTTATGCTGCTTCTGAAGTAGATACATAGGAAAATAATACAGTTGAGATTTTTTTTTTGTATTACTGATTATCCAGCTTGAGTTATTTAATAAAATAATTTTAAAATACACCCCTTGATCTTTGTAAATAACTTGTGCTGCATGGTGGGGATCTTACTTTTACTATGTAGTAGTTACTGTAGTAGAAAGATGAAAATGGTGCTGAGGTGGCATTTGAAGCGGATACTTGTGACTCATGCGGCTCTCCCCTAATGAACTTCATTAGCTGTTTGATACATAGCCACTTGTTAAGCATGCTTGTCTAAAATTAGGACTGGCTACAGCCAACTGTAAATCAAAATTAAGGATAAAAGATTCCACTTACTCCGGTTTAGTTTTCACACCAGATTCAGAGCTCTGTTGCTGGTTATCGTGCTCTTCTGGATCTTCAGTAAGGCTTGTCCTGCTGAAAGTCTCATGAACCACTGAAGACCCTCCATGTAAAGGAGTCAAGTGGCATGCAGTCTCTAGCACAGTCTCTCGGTGCTGGGGCAATGTTTTTCCGTGTTTTAAGGTAATCCATCCTCTTACGGTTTTGAATGCAGTTGTTTGTTAGAGGATCAGTTTAATAGTTTCTCACATTCCCACTGTTGAATGCAGATATGTGCCCTTGCCCCAATCTGTTCGTCACTTGTGTGTCAGCTATTGTGAATCTCTTCATCAGCTCGTTCTGTGTGTGAATCTAAACCAGGTAAATATATCCTGTTTTTCAAGTATTGCAAACCATAAAATGCTGAACATTACTAGCATCTTCTCTTTGCTTCCACCTGAAACTTAAGCTTCCACCAGAAACTCTCACTGCTTTCCAATGTCAAGGCTGTACCATTAGCAATGGAGCATGGAGAAAGGTTTTAAGGTCTGGAGTCGTGCAGGCTGCCAGGGCTTTGTTCCATGGGTGGCAGGAACCTCTCACCTGTCTAGGCTAAACCTGGACCATCCAGCCACCATCCTGCTTTGGGGAGAATCCAGGTCAATTCTGTATCCACTGCAGCAATTGCAACAGGGTTCAATAGTTGTGGTGTTTTGCTGATTCCGGCCCTGTTGCTTTTGCTTTGTCCCAAAAACTGGTGGGGTTGAACCGGTTGCTGGTCCCATTGGGAAGGTTGGCTGGAGTCCTTCCTCCCTGTGCAATGGCACCACTCACTAGGAGACATCAGAGCCTGTTATCCTTTTGGGAATAGTACAGTTTCTAACTAGGACCAGACCTTGTGTTTTCACCAGGATTGTTAGTAAGGGGGCAGCTGGGAGAGGATGGCCAAGTAATCAAGGCTGTACGCCCACTTTGTTTTGGAGATCACCTGATGTGTTTAGCTTTATGGGAAGGATTTCTGTCTGAGGCTGCTCTGGTTTTGTTGTGGATGAGTCGCCTGCCAAACTCCAAGAAGGAGTCCCTTCTATTGACAGATAGAAAATGGGGAGGTGGAGGCTATATTTGGTGGAGAACGTAGGAGAGTGATAGGCGTCCTGATGCGCATTGACGTTTTGATGTCAATGAAATAACGTGGTGGGTTTTTGGTTTTGTGGGGGTTTTTTTTCCCCTCCTATAAGAAAGATGCAGCTGTACAAAGACTCTTAGGATGCTTATGATGGAAGGTGTATTCCATCCAAGCATTAGCTCTATAGGGTTGGGAAGTCCAGCATCTCCTTTTCTTGCTGTTTTTTATCCTTTCTTAGAGACCATACTGCTTTCAGTGGGTAATAGAGCCTGTTTTTGTGCTGGAGGATGAGGGCAGGTGTCTCCTCCGCATGGAGCATGGTGAGGTGTGTTCTGCTCTTGGTGCTGGGCTCTGAACCTCTGCTTCCTCACTGGTATTGCTTTTGTTGGGTGTTGATTACTTTCTGCCTCTGTGAGGCTGTGTATAAGGCAGATGTGTGATTTTTTTTTTTAATCTGTTTGCTCTGTGTGCTGTCTGTATTGCCTATAAATAATAAATGGATTGCTCAGATGCTGCAGACTGGTAGCGACTTGGAGGGTAACTCAACTTTTTCAGTACTGTTACAAAATTCATCTGACTTCAAATACATAAGCAGAAAAACATAAAAGTATATTTTCATTTATAGAGCATGCTTCTTTCTTGTAACCAGCGTGATCAAGAAATGCAGTCCAAAAGAAACTGAGTCCCTCCCACTGTTTATTACATAACCATCTAATTAAAGTAATCAAATGGGGATGACTTCGAGGCTTGGAAAACTTCCCCATAGTCTGGGTCAAAAATACTTGCAAGACCACACCCCCTGAGTCTCCATGCTTTATTTACCTTGCAACATCCTCTAGAGAGGAATGGTGTGTAAATTAATTCTTCCCCCCGTAAGTTTATTACTGCTGTCAGCCATTAAAGTCTCTTGCTGCTGCTTCTGTAGCCGCTTTCTTGGGCACAAAGAAATCCCTTTAACTCCTGGTTTCCCTTTTGAAAAAGAAGGGACTTCAAAGAGTCCTTCTCCCTTTGCTCCCTAGAAAATGCATGCTGATTCGAAGCTCTTCTCATAGTTGCTTTGGGTTGCAAGTTAGTTTTTTCCAGGCTTATTATTTCTGCTTCATGAGTATTGATGGCAATTGGCAGGTAAATCAGTAAATTGGGTCTCTTGCTTGAGAAGGAAATGGTGTATGTTCCTGTGATAGCTGTAATACTTAAACCCTGATAATGAGAAGCATATGTAGATGGAGGTGGTGGTGAAGAAATGTGAAAGACACCTAAAGTACAAAATGTAGCAGCAAATAAAAATTCATGGTCCATTTTCAGTGTACAATCATTTTCAAATACATGGTTGTGCGTTGCAGGAACTCTGAAAACTTTGAATTCCCATGGGATTTGCTACTGTGCTGTGTATTCAAAGCAGGAAAAGCCCCACCTGAGCACTGACTTAAGGTGGGTCAGGATGGGAAAACTGTGATGGCTCAATCTCAGATGTTCTCCACATGCGTGGGAAGTTTGAGAATCTGGTAGAGTAGTATTCCTGTAAGCCATACCGACCTATGCCCCTTCTCAAACTAAGATAGAAGGAAATAACTGCTTAGTAAGAAGAGTATTAGTGGATGTACTCCTGTGTGTGATATAAACCTGCTTCGTCTTTTAACAAATGGCTTGGGTCTTGAGTGTTCAGTTTTGCCCGTGTGGAAGACAGCTGAGTACTAAGCAGTATGCTTGGAGAACACAGTGGCCTGCTTAACAGGCTCTTTGTCAATTCTGGAGAGAAAAATGTTTGAACCAGCAGTTAAATCCAGCGTGCAGTTACTTAAGACTTAAATAACTTGCAGGCAAATCTCTTTGATCTAGTTGGGCTGTAGATGCACTTTTTTCCAGAAAACACAAATCTTAATCCTGCACAATACGCAGCTGCAAATGTAACGTGCACTGGATTTTCTCATATGCCTGGTGCTTCGTTTACAGAGGTGACGCTTTCCCTTTTCAGGGTCTTTGCTCATTAATTTCCAGTGGTTTTGCTGGAGACTTTTTCCTCCTCATCTGCAGTCTTGTGCGGCAGGCAAGCAGACGTGTTCTTGAACCGCAGGAAACGGTTGGGAGGGAACCTGTCCTTTCCTTTTTCCCAGTTCCAGGTGCTAAGGGGAGGAGGTATCCCATTTTTTACTGGCACTGAACCGAGCCTCGCTGTACTCTGTCACCTCAGATGCCCTAAAGGGTCCCGCAGGGTAACCAGAGACGCCTGTTTTTGTGAGCCTGGAGGAGAATCCCCCAGTTCTTCCTCATGTGAATGCATGTATGGTAGTTGACATCAGAGGCTGTCTGCAGACCTGTGAATGCACAACCTCTCCTCTTAAACAGCTGTATGAAAAGAACCCCAAACTTAGGTAGAATAAGATCTTGAAAACAAATGCTATTGTAGTGTGTATTTTCCCTACAGGATTTCATTTTTTTTTTTCCTGGAAGACAGAATGGCCTGGATTCCTAATCTGTCTGTCTGCTCATGACATAGAGGGTTTCAGTATGTGTTGCAGGATCGGAGGGCAAATGAATTAAAAGTGTAAAAGTATAGAACTGCAAGAGGAGAGTTGGCGTTTTGTGGTTTTTTTTGGTTTAGGTTTGGTTTTTGGGGTTTTTTTTTGTGGTCTGGGACAACTCATCACTACTTAGGCAATTGCCTGGGACCTTCTGCCTACACAGGTTGAATACCTGTACCCTTCTTCATCCAGCTAAGGTGGCACCACCCCTCCTAAAACCAGCTACAGTCATACTGGTATAACTCATGCTGGGTTTAGTATCAACCAGACCGTATTAAGTATCTCTCTGAAGACTGCATCATTAACAGAACCATCAATGAGGGGTGGGCCAGGCTTGCCGTTTTAAGGTGGAAGTTAGATAATTACACGTGGTTAGGGCTGCGTCAACTGCCTTTACCATATGCTAAATCGGTTGAATTAAAGCGACCTGAGGACCAAGTCCTTAAGGTGATGCATCTAGCCAAGGCTGAAGACAGCAGACCTTGTCCATGCTGGGTGTTGCAGTTAACGGGATACTTCACACCTCTGAGTCTCAGTCTAGACAAGGCTGTGGTGTGTCACATTGCCACCCTCTCGCTCGAATCCCTCGGTAAAACACGCTTCCATTATGTTTTTCTGTGGTAGTCCAGCATAACCACTAATCCTCTCTCTCGATAAAAGAGGATTAAAAATGGGAACATTTGCACCTTAATGCAGCCAGCTAGGGTTGCGCTCTGTCTTTTAGGCAGTAATCCTGTTGGGGCGAGGGCTGTGCCTTTGTGCAGTGCCAGGAATGCTGTTGGCGATCAGCAAATAGCAGCTCTCTCGGCAGTTGCGCTTATTGGGTTAGTAATTCTTAAAAGGCCACTTTGTGTGTTAATTAAAAAAGCTGTATCAGCTAGAGATGACTAACTCGCTTCACACTGTTGAAATGACTTCTGGGCTATGTCCAGAAAGTAAAATAATTTGAAATTGGGATTTCTGTGTGGTTCTTTATTTAAAGTCAAGGAATGTGTAAGTTGACAAAGTATTATCTTTCAGAATGCCATTTATCATACATTATGTTTCCTAGACTCATGTCAGACTACATATCCTGCAGAAAACTTAGGGAAGAATGTTCTGCCCCACGTGTTACTGGTGGATACTGGTAAGGGAGAGTCAACTCTGTGTATCGCACCCCAAATGCTTAATGTGAAACCTGCAGAGCCTGGGGGGAAGCACGGGAATGCTAAATGAGAATTCCACCCTGTGGTTTACGATTTTACGGTGTAGTTTGACTTCCAGTTTTGGATTACACTCGCTGGCTGACATGGGCCGGGATGTGGTGGTATGCCCTTCCCATGGGTTTCTGAACACTGAATATGTGCTAACCTTTTTCTTGGTGTCTTCATAGGGAGGACTGATCCACTGTAGTACTTTTTTTTTTTTTTTCTTTTAGCTTATGTGAATTGCTTAAAATTTGGAAAAAAAAGTGGAGTCCTTCTGCATGTACATGCTATGCTTTCTGTGTGAGCTACCGTTGCTCTGGTTGAGGCAAGCAACTGAAGAGAAACTGCTTTGGCAGCCAGTCCAGCCCA